GCAGAGTCTTACTTTGTCACCCAGGCTGGAGTGCAATGTCACCATATTGGCTCACTGCAGCCTTCACCACCCAGGTTCAAGCAATTCTCCTGTCTCAGCCTCCGAAGTACCTAGGATTACAGGTGCCTGCCACCTCACCCAGCTAATTTTTGTATTTTTTAGTAGAGACAGGGTTTCACCATTTGCCAGGCTGCTCTTGAACTGCTGATCTCAGGTGATTCACCTGCTTCAGCCTCCCAAAGTGCTGGGATTACAGGTATGAGCCACTGTGCCCGGCCGAACCAAAGCATGTCTGCTGCTGCTGTCCCTGTCATTGATCTATGTGACTTCCCCTCCACCGCAGTTACTCAAAATGTCACTTGCTGCTTCTCTTCCATCAGGATAACACCCATCTGTGCCCACTGACTAATGAGGGGACATGACTGGTGTTTACATACACTAACTGTGGGAACCTTGGTTTAATTTTGTGAGAGAGAAGTCCTTTACAGCCTCCTTAGCTTTCCACTGAGAAATGTTTTTAGTGATTTTGAGAGGAGATGGGGGAAAGGTGATGTGGGGCTCCCAAGGGGATTTCTTCTTAGAAATCTCTTCCTACAGCACTCTTGTAGTGAAAGAAAACCATCTTCATGTAACTTGTCAATTTTGTTTTTTGAAAAATGTTTATCCACTATTTGAATATAAATATTAAATAATAGAAATTTATCTTTAAACATTCTCTTTTACTTTATCCCAAACTAAATCTCTCTTTGCATAAAATTTTTCAACAAATACATACTCAGGCCAAAAAATGATGCTTTAACTTATGACTTAACAACTGTTGGGAATATAAGTCTAGAAAAAATATTGCTATTGAGTACTGAAAGTCTTTATTGGCAAACGCAATCTATTTCCAAAGTATAATACAATAATTGTATAGAGGATAAAATAGAAATTGTTCACCTAGGAAATTAATATATAAATATTTACAGAGCATTGTCTTGAGAAATGCAGTTTGATGATGTTTCAGTTTGAGCAAAAGATGAGGCTCTCAAGTATGCCATTTCTTTGGCTGCTAATGAGAGAGAATCCAGACTTTCTTGGTGTACTCCAGGTTCTCCTGTATTCTTTAGATTTGGAGGAATTGACCATGAAGGAGCTGGCTATAGTGTCAGCAGGTGAAGGTGGAAACTTCAATCCAGGAAGGGGCTCCCCTGGATCCGCTGGAGTCAACGTGGGAGAACATAGCCTGGCAGCTCTGGAGGCCTGAGTGGAGGGGAAAGAACAGCGCTGTCCTGTGACCCAGGCCCCTCCTGGGGAAGGTAGAAGCAGGGCTGGCTCTTGGCTGCCTGGCAGGTGTGGAAAAGCTCCTTGTCACGGGGTAACTCCCATGGCCTCTTCCACGGACTCCGGCATTGATATTTCTGCCAGCTTTTCTTGTTGCTTGGAGAGTCTGGATCTTTCTTCTACCATTTTTTTCTTTTCTTCTAATTTTTTATTTTTTAAAATCTCTCTCAGTTCTTGAACGGGGATGTGATTTTCTTTTTTTCTTTTCCCTCCCCTCCCCGACCTGCTCTCTTCACCCCTCCCCCCCATCTCCCCTCCTCTCCCTTCCTCTCCCCTTGTCTCCCCTCGTGTCCCCTCGTGTCTCCTCTCTTCCTCTTTTTTTTTTTTTTTTTGAGACGGAGTTTCGCTCTTGTTACCCAGGCTGGAGTGC